TGTCTATAGTCAAAAATTGTCTATATCTATGATCTTTATACCAGTTAGTATCATTGAGATTCTATTATAGCTTTTTTTTATCTGTTATCTGTGTTTATATTTTATCTGTTTTTTATATTTATGTCTGTATAGTTTTTTTAATTAATTTTTATATCAGATTTAGTTATTTTAAAACAAGTTAAACTAAATGAAAATGAGAAATGCTGCAAAAAACACATTTAAGGTTTTTAATATTTTATTTCAGTTTAATGTTTATTTCAAGTAGGGATGCAGCGATTAACCGGTTTCACAATTAACCGCGCTTTAAAATGTCACGGTTAATTAATCGTAAAGGCTCCGCTACACCGAGTGTTTCTGTTGCACAGAACGGAACAGTTGCAACTTGCGCAAAACTAATGCAAAGTTACACTAGCAGTGCACCATCTTAAAATGCTGTGCTTATCAGAGACACTGAGGCTGCTACACACACTAGATTAACTATGACAGAGTAACTAAACAGCGATCCTTTATTTCCACCAGAGAAATGACTGAATAGTCGATAGTGTGGGACTTTTTTGGGCACACCAAGAATGACCAGGGTGTCATTTAAATATTGCCGTAAAAACTGCTGCTAAATAGCAAATCCATGGCTTTAAACTATTTTAATGCAGGACGTGAAGGTAAGACTGACGCGAAGCTATGGCTCGTTAACTCAGTATTCTAACCACTTCAGATCAGACAGATGAAATAGTGTTGTAACGAATCAGTGGTCTATCATAACATGCATAAAACAGCATACACTACAACAGACAATATACAAGAACAGTAATGGTATACACAATGACCTAAAGGATATGTGTATTCAATCAAAGAAAGGTTTTCCTATTAATTAATTAGAGAACAGTCCATTTCTCTGGGCATTATGTGTCTTTCTTATGAGGAAAATGAGGCAGGCAATAAAACCAGTGATATCAGCATTGGTTGCCATGGAACCAGAGGCCTGTTCTGCCTTTCTGAGGTGTTAGGTGCATTTCGGGGGAAGGGTCCATAGACCCTCGTAATTGGCCCTTTGGTTAGGTGAGGGGGTGTTAGATATTATTTGTTAAATATAACAAAAAGTTGTGTGTCTGATTGGTCCAAATGCTACAGTGTGGTAAGATCACATTTATTTGAATTAATTATAACATTTAGTTACTTGAATTAATTATTCGATCGAGAGGGAGAGAGAGAAGTGTGTGTGTGAACCTGCGTCAGCGCGGCTCTCTACAAATGTGAGTTACTTCTACTTAAACAGTGATTTTACCCTCTCCTTGCTGATGAATGTGTAGCAATTCAGTATCTAAGCTATTTTATTAATACAAGTCAAGGGGCAGGGTTCACAACAAGTTTGTGTCCTCCTGAATGTTTGCGCAGCGATCCGATCTCACAAACCAAAATAATAGACATGATTTTCTCAGGCCACATGTAAAATCATATGAATTATTATAAAAAATTATTCAAATTAATATGTATGGATGACAGTTGATTACAATAGTTCAGTTTATTCCCCTCATCATTAATAGTTTCCCCTGTGGGATAAATAGTTAATATTCCTATATTAATAATACTTATTAACATTGTTATACATGTTCCCTTTTATTGTATTATGCATAAGCCAAAAATCAACAAGATTTTTTTTTTCACGTTTTCTGCCTCAGTTCCAAAAGAGATGTAAGGAATGTACAAACTGAAAACACTAAATACTTTTGTGATCTATTTTCATTAGTTATTTTCAAAAGGGAAATACTGACATGGATCTTTATAGAGCAGAGGTCACCTTTTTAATTCCAACTGGAGAGATACACATTTGTTTGTCTTTATTTATTATTATTTTGTGCTGTATTATTAGTTACTGTGTTATTTCTGTTTCTAAAGGCAGCAATAAATAACACTTTATTATCTAAAGTGTCCATGTGAATTTATAAAATAATAATTTTGTGAAATGAATAAATGCATAATAATCATGAAATTGTGATTATTCCTCAAGACAATAATCATACCAACAAAATCTATAATCGTTGCATCCCTAATTTCAAGTAACAACAATTTTTAAAAATGTTTTTATTTATATTTTTTTACGTTTTAAAGCAGGGTTATTATAGTTAACTAAAACTACTATGTTCTTAGTTTTACTTTTCCCAATCCATCAATCCACATTATTCCAAAGAGTGAAAAAAAATCATGTTTTCATGATTTATTTTCTGTCCCTTTTCCCCCTTTTCTACTGTTTGAAGGACTGGTATGACGACTGATATTACAGACCTTGCAAAAGAGGTGTATGGTGTGTTGAGTCCTCAAACACACAGACCGACTTGTCAGACTCCAGAGCAACAGAAGAGGAAGAACAAACCCCAGTTCTTCATCAACAGCACCATCAAGAAAGCAAAATCAGTTACCCTCCATATACAAGGCTTGGATGGGGCAGTATGTACCATAACAACGCTTTCACACATGCACTTGGTTGATTTTAACTGGGTTTTTCTCATATTTATGCAGATTACCGAGTAAATTCAGATGTTGCCTTGTGTTGACAGGATCAGAGAGGTGTGTGTGAG